CCCTCCTCCCCCTCCTTCCCCTCCTCCCTCTCCAGGGTCCCCCGTTCGCGCCCTCCAGAGGGTAGCCTCCCGGCGAAGCCTGCGCGTGCCCCCCGGTGGTGAGCCCCATCTCGGCCCGGCGGCTCTGCAGCCCACGGCTGGGTCGGGCCTGTCCCGTCACAGGAGGACGCTGTCAAACCTAAGCAACAATAAGGGTAATACAACCAAGAAGCAATCAACCAATGTCAAATATTCCTCCCAAAACACAGAGCAACATGAAGCCAAGGCAACTAAGCGAAACCACAGGAATACTGTGCCGAACCTAAACAAGAAACAAGCACAACCAAAACATAGACTAAGCAATAATGCTTGATCAAGAATAAATTAACGATCCATATAGTACTCAAGAGTGCCTGGTCACATCCCTGGGAGGACGATGTCAAACCTGATCAAAAAGTTTTAATCAAGAAACAGTAACCGAGAAATCGAATCATCAAGACACATCAATCAAGACAAGTAATACGCAAGAAAACAATCATCAAAGGAAACATCAAGGAACAGCAATCACGAAACAAACTTATCAAGAAAAATAATACAGGACGAATAAGCAGTAATGTGTTGAGTATGCCGGGGCACATTTTTGAATATTTGGCCCAAGAATCCTGTGGTGTTGGGTCCTCGTTTTGAAGAGACGGTCCCCGCGTTCCCTCCTCCTCGCCCCCCCCCAGTGGGGATGGCCACATGCGTCCGCCACACCCAGTACAACGCTTCGTGGCCCCATAGGGAGCTCCACGCAAGGCCCCAGTGGGGTTGGCCACATGCGTCCCTCTGTACCCAGTGCAGCGTTTCGTGGCCCCATACGGCGCTCCACAGAAAGACCCCAGTGGCACCGCCCGCATGCGTCGTACACCACCCAGTACTGCATTTCGCGGCCCCATTGATTGGGAGCTCCACCAAGCCCCAGTGGCACGCCCGCATGCGTCCCCCCCACCCGGTAGCTACAGCGTTTCGTGGCACCGTAGGGAGCTCCAGTGGCACGCCCGCATGCGACCCCCCACTCGTAGGGCCCATAGGGAGCTCCACCGAAGGCCCCAGTGGCACTGCCCGCATGCGTCCCCCCCCTCCCGTGGCCCCATAGAGCTTCACCGAAGTGCAGCGTTTCGTGGCCCCGTAGGGAGCTCCACAGAAAGACCCCAGCGGCGCCGCCCGCATGCGTTTCCCCCAACCAATACAGCGTTTTGTGGCCTCATCGGGAGCTCCAGCGAGGGACACCGCCCGCATGCGTCAGCCGCACCCATGACAGCGTTTCGTGGCCCATAGGGAGCCTCACCGAAGGCCCCAGTGGCAATACCCGCATGCGTCTCCCCCACACGCGTTTCGTGGCCCCATAGGGAGCTCCACCGAAAGCGGCACCCACAACGCGTTACTCACAATTGCATATGGTTGGGTCTCTCGTCCGGATATTTGTTTCGCCAACAATCCGCGGGGGGACATGCCCGACCTAAACCTACAGCCGCGTAGATCGTTTAGACGTGGACCCTCTGCGCTCAGAGTCTGGCATCAGTTGGCGCGGGCTTGAAGTACCCTGCACAGAAATTGGGCAGCACATACGTTCAAGGGTTACCCGACGCATGTTGCCAGGAAGTTCATGCAGTCAGTGCGTACTTTGGCGAATTTAGTCTTAATCGTAGTCTGGTTGCCTGTGATATGCCTCGGCTGAGTGGAAAACAGCGCGGCTGATACGTGGCTTGGATGTTGCTCGCGAGGTGTACACAAGTGTTCCTGATACATGCTGCTGGACGGATAAGTGGAAGTCGGGCTCGACAGGGGCACGGAAGAAGCGTAATCTTGTGCCGTGGAGCGCCGTGATGTGTTTTTTTGTTTCCCCCTTCTCCCGCCCTCCCCTCCATCGCTCCTCATGTCCCGCCCTCCTTATCGCGCCCCCTCTCCTCTTCATCCTCCGCCCTCCGTTCTTCCTTCTTGCATCTGCCGGCCTCCCCCCGTGATCCCCTCTTTCTGGCACGTGGTGATGGCGTCCGCTCCTTCCGGCCCTTCCCTCCTTCCTCCTCGCTCCTTCCTCCTCCCTCCTGCCCCATCCCCCCTCCCTCCTCCTACGGCCGGACCGAGCTATGAGACCGAGGTCGATTTGGAGAGGGTACCCAAGTTCTGTGTGTGCTTCTCTGACGATCTTGGGAATCCCGGGCTGGGCACCCGTGAAGGTTCTGTTAGTTTTGGCCGGCGGAGGGCCTGACGCCCTCGACGGGATGTTCTTCTGGCGGTCTTCTGGCCTCAGGACCGACTCACGCCTGGACCCTCGCCGCCCCCCTCCCTCCCCCCCCACCTCCTCCAGCCCACCCTCCTCCCGTCCTCCTCCCCCCCTCCTCATCCTCCTCCCCCTCCCCCCCCCTCCTCCTCCTCCTCCCCCTCCCACCTCCCCCCCCCCTCCCCCCCCTCCTCCTCCCCCATCCTCCTCCTCCTCCCACCTCCTCCTCCTCCACCTACCTCCTCCTCCTCCTCCTCCTCCTCCTCCTCCTCCTCCTCGAACCTCTGTTGTGAGGCAGGGGGCCCCCCTGCCTCACAACAGTGGTTCGAGCAGTGCTCGAGTCGGCGCCTTCGGTCTGCGCTGGCCTTCGCCAGCCCGCGCCGGCCCCGTTCGGCGGCCTCCACGGAGAGGGGAGACGGGACGCGCCAGTCGTGGCGCTGAGTTTTCGGATGGACCCGTTCGCTGGTCAGATGTGCGTGTGTGTGTGTGAAGTCCGCGCATATCATCACTATCACCATATCCCCCGCTGGCGTCCCAGCTCAGGTACTGGAGACAGGTGCATCGCCGCCTGCCCGCGGCGCATGGGACAAGGGATCGCTACCCTTTCCGCCACCTTCCTCTCCTTACGGCAAGCCTAGTAGGTTCGGCTCTTCGGTCGTCAACCTACAGACAATTGTGGATCCTGAGAATTGCCGCGAGCAGAGTGCCGTCACGGTCGTGTGTGCTTCCCTTCGAGAAGCTGTGCCAAGTGTTGCTCCTGGTCAGCCTGGCGCCGACGAGCCGTTGCTGCAGTGTGCCGTACAGGAGAGGCCTTCTTGCTGCACGGGTGGCTCAGCAACCGTGGACGCAGAGTGTTATTGTCGTGGCATGCTTGATCGCGAGTAGTTTTCATTCGATGTGTGAAGATTATGTCGTGGCTTGAGCATGCAGCACCGCGCCGCCCGAATTTCTAGAGGTCGCATTTGGCACAGCGCTGCAACGTATCGGTGTTGAGTCGGGTACAATCCATGTCGATGGGATTTCAAAGGCCTTACATTGATATTCCCGGATGCTCATCCACCGGATGGTGTTCGGCAACACTTTGGTCTTCGCTGGCCACGGTCACGAAGGTGACGCCAAAGAAAGACGTGAATGCCGAGCTTTTGGCGCAACTTTATCAGGCACGTGGTGCTGCTCCTCGTTCTTCCATGGTTTCACCCGAGGTGCCCCAGGGAACTGCGGTGCTCGGTCGGCACCGATGCGTGACTGCTACTTGGAGTGTTCCGTCCGTCGGCTCTTTTCTTCTCAGTTGCCTCTTACCTTGCCCCTTGGGTGGCGTCACCCGCGCTTGCTGCTTCTCCCGCTCACCGGACGAACACCGACTCCCAACCCCACCCCGCCCCAGGAAGTGCAGACCAGATTTGGAGGACCGGCGCCAATTCACACCATATGACCCTGGTGTTGTTGGCCGATCTTCCAGGCTCGCCCACGCTTTCCACACGCACACACACACACGTGCTGGCAAGTGGATCGAACTCGGTCGAAACGGCTTCAGGGTGGAGAAGGCGGTCAGGCTTCGATCGATGAGTTGTTGCCCTTCCCCTCCACCTCGACGTCGTCCTCCAGTCCTCTCCTGATGGATCGCATCGAGGCGAGTCCAGCCGCGGCAACGCGGGCCCTCGAGGAAGCAGCAGCAACAACACCATACAAGAGACAATCCATCGTGCCCAAAGAGCCGACGCCGTGATTTGTTGTACGGGGTCCCTGGAAGTCTCGACCAATTCCTCAGGACTGGTTTTTCATCCTGAGTAGTCTTTTGACGCTTCCGAGGCCCGGCGAGGGCCGAAGTTTGCAAAAAACACCGTCCTGATTGTTCAATACGTTGGATCACTGGGTGCCCCTCCTCCCGGCGACGAGGGCCCCCCACCGCGGGCACAGCCGAGGCAGCCGAGCATCGACGACGACGGCGGCGGCGGCGACGGCGGCGACCACGGTGCCCGCGCCCCGCGGCCGGGGCGAGGCACTGGCGACACGGCGTGGATGTCGGACCCGGTGGTCAGCTGCGTCGGCTGGACGGTGCTTCTCACCTCCGCCGTCATCCTCCGGGTCCGCGGCCTCTTCCAGGGGAGGGACAGGTACCCATACCTCTGCCCTTCCCGCGCTTTCCCCCTCTTGGGCCTCGTGGGAGGCCATCGTCGCCGCCGCTGGATTTGCTTAAGTCTCGTCAGAACACACCCTGGGAGAGGTCTGGGGAGTAGCGGTATCGGTACTCAGACATGCGACGTCCTGATGTTTTCAATATGGGGTCCCCGGAAGTCCCGACCGTTTCCCCGGGACCAGCTTTTCATCCTGATTCGTTTTTCGATTGTCCCGAGGCCCGGCGAGGGCTCCCCGATGCCGAAAATTAGCAACATGAATCCCTTCCTGAATTTGTTGTTTTCGACGCGATCCCAGAGATCCGATGTCGTGATTTTTCAATACGGGGTACCCAGACCAGAAGTCTCGACCCATTCCCCAGGACTGGTTTTTCATCCTGAGCAGTCTTTTGACGCTCCCGAGGCCCGGCGAGGGCTCCCCGATGCCGAAAATTAGCAACAGATGCCCGTCATGTCTTTTGTTTACGACGCGATCATGTCTTGCTACCTCTGTGATGGTCCAACCTACTTTGGCAGAGGCCACCAGACAGAAGTTCGAGCACCAAAAAAGAACCGAAACAAGAGGGTTTTCATGTGTCGGGCCCTGGGAGACATTCGTCCGACACTGTTTCGAAACCTTTGTCGACACTCTTATTCGACACTTTTCCCGGTGCTCGAAGTTATGTTTGGGATGTGGTTTGTAAGTACGCGGGGAGCAACATAAGTCTGGCTTCCCGCCACCACCATGAGGCGGATGGAGGGAGAAGGTGGCTGAGGAGGAGGAGGAGGAGGAGGAGGAGGAGAAAGAAGAGGAGGAGAAAGAAGAGGAGGAGAAAGAAGAGGAGGAGGAGGAGGAGGAGGAGGAGGAAGGAGAGAAGGAGGAGGAGGAGTCGAGCGCGCGAGAGAACGAGGAGGAGGAGGACGCGGAGGAGGAGGCGGAGGCGGACGAGGGGGTTCCAGGCGACCTTGTCGCACGCGCTGCCCCCGACATCGTGTAATTACGTCAGGTTCGTGTCGAGCTGATTTCGGCGTTGCCCAGAGATTCAACGCATTGGAGATATCATGACGGAGGTTTTTCACAAATGTTGGCCCCCGGGGGGCCCTCGCCGGGCCTCGGGAGCGGCGAAAAGCGACTCGGGACGGAGAGCCGGTTCAAGGGAATGGGTCGAGACTTCCGGGGACCCCGTCTTGAAAACATCACGACGTCGGATCTCTGGGGAGGTGCCAGCGGCGCCGCTCGTCCTGCACGGCCCTCGTCGCCGCAGCTGGATCCGTGTCGAGATGCTGGTCTCGAAGAAGTATCTCAGGCAGTGGCGAAGCGTCCTGGCGTGCTTATAGGCCTACCAAGGAATGTTCTAAGACACTGTTGTGGTTTCCACGAAATGTTCTGAGAACCTTTCTGGCTGGGGCCGTCTTGTTTTGACACATCGGGTCTATGTTCTATGAACATTTTTTCTGTTCTTGAACCGTTTTGGGTTCTAAGAACATGTCGTGGTAGGCCTACAGGAATGCCAGGATGGTCGGTCCTTGCTCAAGTAAAATTGCCATAAACATGAACGTTTGGCGATCCGCGCGGATTTTCTCGGATCCGCGCTGAACCCCCGTCTCTGGCGTGCGGTGCGCCACAGGGGCGGCGCCGGAGGCGCCGCCGGGGGCGCCGCCGGGGGGGGCCCAGCGCGGATCCTGGAAATCCGCGCCGAGTGCCAAACGTCTCTGCGTTCCGCTGCCAAAGTCCCAAACGTATGCGGTTCTCTGCTCCTCGAAAGCAGTTCGTACTGGGGCGATGTTTTGATTTTGTTGTTGTTGTTGTTTTGTTGTTGTTGTTGTTGTTGTTGTTGTTGTTGTTGTTGTTATTGTTCTTATTGTTCTTATTGTTCTTATTGTTATTGTTTTTGTTATTGTTTTTGTTATTGCTCTTGATACTGTTCTTGTTGTTCTTGTTGTTTTGTGTGAGCCTCTGGAGGACTCTGTTGACTTTTGATTACGTTTGGCAGTTTGTTGCGCACGTTTTGACTATTCCTCATTTGTCGCCCAAAATCCGCCTGGAGAAGGACGTGCCCGGCCCAATGCTCGACGGAGCGCGCAGAGGTCCGGGGAGCCGCGGGAGCGGTAATGATTTCGTCGTGCCGCCCTCCCGTGGTTCTCCTGCTCCTCCCGCTCCTCCCGCACCCTCCTTCCGCATCCTCCGCCTCGTCCTCGTTGTCGCAGGCCTAGAGGTTGACACCAACACCGAGAGCGGCGGTGTGCCTCCACCGAGGGAGGACGATCCCGATCTCGGTGATGGTGGCAATATTCTGGCTGCCAAGGCGACCGACAGATTACCACCAGCACCGAAATCTAGGATCATCTTCCCCCGGTGGAGGCAGCGCCTTGTGATGGTGTTGGTGCCAACTTCTAGGCCTCCAACACTGCTCGTCCTCCTGCGAAGAAGAAAAACACAGCCACAAACTCGTGGCGCTCCGCGCGGGGTCCAGCGCGGATCCAAGGAGTCAGCGCGGAGCGCCAACAGTTTATGCTTATGTGTTCTTGTTTTTCTACTCCTGCTCATCCGCCATCTCCTCGTGGTCATCCAACTCAATCTGCCGACAGGGGTCCTGCGGCTAGGACCCCAGTCGGCAGATCGGAAGGTATTCAGCGCAGCGGGAAAGGATGTATGAGGGTTCTAGACGTGGCGCGCGCGCACCCAGCTTGCCTCTGTCTCTCTCCGTCATCCCCTTTCTCCCTTCGCAGTCGACGTCTTACGTCTTACCCCCAGTCCTAGAGTGCTCCGTGACAAATCAGGCCGCTCAGAAAACGGGGGGAACCCAGGGATACACTCGGGGGGGGGGATGTCCTGGCGCACCCCTGTCGAGGATGGAGGCCCCCCTATCGCATACATCCCCAAGATTAGGGGGCCACGTGCGAACCCTACCCCTACCTGCTACGATTTCTGAGGGGGAGGGTGGGGTTCACTTCGCTCGGGAGCTCCCGAACGAAGTGAACCCCACCCTCTCCCTCAAGAAGTCGTAGTAGGGGGGGGTAGGTTCCCCCCCCCCCCCGGGGGGCGGGGGGCCCCCCCCCCCCCCCCCCCCCGGGGCCCCCCCCCCCCCCCCCCCCCCCCCCCCCCCCCCCCCCCCCCCCCCCCCCCGGGGGGGGGGGCCCGCATGTGGCCCCCTAAAGATGGGCCCACCCACAGCATTTTGGTCCAGTCTGAAACCCCTCAGAGTCGGCGATTGGGGTCGCCATACCGACCGTTATCCCTCCCTCGCTGGACGACGTCGCGCTGTCGCGAACCCTGCATCCCGCAGACACCGTTTCCTCGCTCTGTCACCGCACCTCCCTCCCTCCCTTCTCCGCCCCCCGACGTCCTCCGCCCTCCTGCCGCCATCAGCCGTCATCCAAAGGATGACGAGGGAGACGAGGAGGACGAGGAGGAGGAGGAGGAGGAGGACGAGGAGAACGAGGAGGATGAGGACGAGGAGGAGGAGGAGGAGGACGAGGACGAGGACGAGGACGAGGAGGAGGAGGAGGAGGGGGGGGGCTTGGAAGCAAGGGGGGGAAGGAGGAGGGACGGCCGGAGAGGGAGGGATGGCTGGAGAGGGAGCCGAGGCAGCGTGGAGGAGGCGCGGAGGTAGGGGAGAGGGGGGACTTGACTTACACGTCGGACCTGTCCCTCTGGAGGGGGGATTTTCAAAAATAGTCCAAAATAGTCAGGGGATGATTTTTCTACCATTTCAGTGATTATTTTCACAAGTTTTTAATTTTTCGTGCAAAATCCCCCTGTGGGAACAGGGCCGACTTAAAGATAGGGAGAGGGAGGATTTGACCTACGTCGGGCCTGTCCCTCTGCAGGGGGGATGTGCAAAAATAGTCGAAGAAATAGTCTGGGGACGATTTTTTGAATATTGCTTGTCCAAGTTGAACTGTGTCTTCGCTGCAGGGTTCTTGCTTTCATGTCTGCAGGGTTCTTGCTGTCATGTCTGCGGTGGTGCCGGGTGCTGGTAAGGATTGCCCTCTTGAAGGGCAGCGGATCGGTGGGCTGCGCGCTGCGGGGGGTATACCAAGAAAAAATTCAATATGTGTTGGCTATTTTTTATTTCTCGTCCAAAATTCGCCTGCAGGGGGACATGCCCGACCTAAAGATAGGGAGAGGGAGGACTTGGTGTTGTTTCAGGAACGGGCTCTGGGACAGGACTCGGTTTGAGGCGCCGTCCACGGGACGAAGTGCGCAGTTCAACGATCGTCCGACCAACCCGGTGGGTTCAGACCACGCATGTTCAGAGGTAACGGTAGGTTCGCGCCGCATCTTCGCGGCAGCGACCCTAGCGTGGACGTTCTAGATTGAACGCCGCCAGCGGTGTTGAATCTTCCGGTATCGAAAGACCTGCTCGATGGGAGGGTTGTGACCGTTCAGGGTCGAAGGATCGACGCGGTGTTAGAATCCAAAGCACGAGTTGTCACGATGCGAGCCTGCCGTATCCGAACCTGCCGTGTGGCCGAGTGGGCCTGGTCCGGTCGGCTTGACGGTCGTTCACCGTCACATCGCTTACCAGACATTAACAGGATATCCCCTCCCCTCCTCGTTTCCCTTCCCTGGTGGAGGGCCTGGGGATCCCAAGTCCCCCGCCCCTGTCCGAGCCCCCGTGCGCTGCTCCCGTCGAAGCCCGTTCTCATGCACTTACGCCTACTACTCATTAGCTGTGTTTCTTCTCCTGCTCCCCCCGTTTTCTCTCCTTGTCCTCCGTCTCCTCTTTCCTGTCGCCTGTGACCGGAGAGAGGGGGAGCGAGAGACAGAGACAGAGACAGAGACAGAGGCAGAGACGATGACGGGGACGGACACTTCTAATGATAATGGAAGGGCGAGAGTGAGAGAGGGAGAGAGAGACAGAGAGAGAGAGAGAGACAGGGACAGAGACTGAGACGATGACGGAGACGGGCACTCCTAATGAGAGCGAGAGAGAGAAAGCACAACAAGGAACGAGACCCAGAGAGAGAGAGAGAGAGATTTTCCACGAGGGGCTGGGCGCTCAGACCTTCAACGCCCGGCTGCCCTCCCGCCACGGAGGTCGCGACGTGCATGGAGGAGGGCGACACGCCCGAGGCCTTCCTGAAGGGCCTCGAGAGCAGGGTCGAGGAGGCCGCGGCCGGGCTGGTGGGCGGCACGCAGGCCGGGGCTCGCGAGACGGGGGGGGTCAATGCCTCCGCCTCCTCCCCCTCCGCCTCCGCCTCCTCCGCCTCCTCCTCCTCCTCCTCTTCCTCCGACCGCCCGCGCAAGCCCATTCGAAAGGACAACCGAACGACATCACATGGACGCAAACAGCCCAAGACACCGAAGCAGCGCTCGAGCACCACTTCACCGACCTCACGTCGATCAGCACCCGAAACTCCGACCAATGACGTAAAATCTCAGCGAATGTCGAGACGTCTCGCCCAACCCGCGCGGACACCGACACCAAGGATTTTCTTTCCCTCCTCCTCCCCCTCTCCGAACTTTTTATATGTCTCGCATTGCATGTATCCAGACACCTGAGATCCTAGAGGCCATGGCCTCACCCACCTAGTCTGCTCTAGGCCCGGACGCTGTCCGCAACGGTTGTCGCATCGCATCGCATCGCCTCCTCCTCCTCTTCCTCTTCCTTCTCCTCCTCCTTCCCCTCCCCCTCCTCCTCCTCCTCCTCCTCCTCCTCCTTCTCCTCCTCCTCCTCCAAGAGGCGGGGGGTCAACGTAACCGGGGGTCAGTCGTCAACTCAGGCATGGCCGCGTCGTTGAAAATAACAGGACGGGAGATTTTTAGCTATCTTTGGCCTCGGGGGGCCCTCGCCGGGCCTCGGAACCGTCGAGAAACGATTCAGGACGAAAGATTGGTCCCGGGGAAAGAATCGGGGCTTCCAGGGACGCCAACCTGAAAAGATCAGGACGTCGCATGGCATGTCTGGGGTCAGAGCGCGGGATCCTTCAGGATCCTGCATGGCCAGCGGCGCACTAAGCCGGGCTTGGGTGCAGGATCCTGCGGGATCTTGCAGGATCCTGCAACGCTTGACTGACCCGGGCCCTGGATTGACTGGGGTCAGTAGATCACCACCCACCAAACCACCCCAACCCAACCCGAAGGCTTCAATTTGCCCTCCATTTCCTGTGGGGGGGGGGGTCGGGGAACGTTGCAAAAACACATGGAACCCGTACCCCCCCGACCCGAAATTCGGGTCAAATTCGGGTCTTCGGGTTGGTTTGGGGTTGTCTGGTAGGTTGTCAGTGGATCCCCGATCAGGGCGCGCCGCCCGTCGTCTGCCTCGGCGACAGCCTCACGCGCGGCAACCTGTCGGCGGATTGCCGAGAAGAGAAAACGCCTTGAGTAGAAACTTTTGGCTTAGGTCGGGCGTGTTCTTCTAGAGGGTTTTAGATTTAAGACAAAAAACAAATATATTCCAAAACTTGTCACACGCAAAAAGCGCCTCATTTTTTTCCGACTTTTGAATGTCACTCCTGTAGAGGGACAGGCCCGACTGAACTTGTGGCGCTCGGCGCGGATTTCTTGGATCTGCGTTGGGCCCCCCTTCCAGCGCGCAGCCGAGAAACCCGCGCGGAGCGCCCACAGTCCCTGTTCATACAGTCGTTCGTTTTGCCAGGATTGGGTGGGCGCCCTGCGGGAGCAGCTGATGGGCTGCCCGGTCGCCCAGCCCGCGGCGGTGCTGAACGCCGGCGTGAACATGCAGTGCATCGAGAACGTGAGGCAGCGCATCAGCGAGGTCATCGCCTGCAAGCCGAGCCACGTCACGGTCCTCGTGGGCACGAACGACCTGAAGGCGGAGCTGTCGCCTGTGGAGGGCCTGATGTACCGCGTCTTCGGCAAGCTGCCGGAGGTTCCCTCGCTCGAGCGCTACGAGAGTTCGCTGCGCGAGATCCGGGAGCAGCTGTTGGCCGCGGGCATCGAGGCCCGAGGAGCAAGAAGCGCACCACCACCACCACCACCGCCGCCGCGCAAGCTGTTCATGCGGGCTGCGGGCGTGCATGATTCCCCGCGAGAGCGCCCGAAGAGGCACGTGGCATGCACAACAACTCCTCATTGGCCCTCCCTTGCCTACACCCACGCGGAGGTATGGTGGTGGTGGTGGTTCTTGTTCTGGTTTGGGTTCTGGTTCTGGTGGTGGTGGTGGTGGTGGTGGTGGTGCACTTGCCTTGTGGGGCACGTGTTCGCTAATCTGCATCCAGCGGCCTGGCGTTTCAAATCTGGTTGTAGCCCATCGAAGAAGAATCATCGCTGCAAGCATTAAACGTTGGCGCTCCGCGAGGTGTTCTTGGATCCCTGCTGGGCCCCCCTGGCGGCGCCTCCGGCGCCGCCATTGGCGCGCTCCGCGCGCCAGGGAGGGGGGTCCAGCGCAGGCCCAAGAAGGCCGCGCGGAGCGCCAAGAGCTCATGTGAATGCAGCTGGTTCTGCTCCCGGAGGCCCCCTTGCCCTTCCCTCGAAGGTCGCCCTGGTCTCGCCGCCCGTGCTCGGGGAGGACCCGGGCTGCCGGGCGAACCTGCGCGCCGCCGAGTTCGCGGCGGCGGTTCCCAGGAGGAAAAGAAGCACACAGACGCAAGGAATCATCGATGCCCCAGAAAAGATGGAAAACTACGGGAAGTGGGGGGGGAGACAACAGCCCAGAACACATGGGAAGATGTAGGGAATCTGGTTATTTGTGTCTGTTCATTTGTGTGTCCCAGTTTCCCGTTAGGTGCGGCGGGTGGCGGCCGAGGGGGGCTGCACCTACCTGCCGCTCTTCGAGCAGACGTCCGCGCAGCTGCCCCCGGAGGGGGGCCGGGCCTACTGCGGCCTGAATTTCTTTATGTGGCGCCCCGCTGTGGGGTCTGCACGCACGAAATGGGCACAGAAAGAACGGGTACAATGCCCAACAGCAGGTCCTTTTCATTTTGAACAGAGTTCGCTGTCCGCGTCGGCGCAGCCTGTGTCCATTTGAGACAGAAGGCCGCCTGCCCAACAGCGGCCGCTGTTGGCTCGGGACAACATTTGATGTTGGGCATTGTACCTATTTTTCCGTGCCCATTTCGGGCGTCCAAAGTGGAGAAGCGAGGTCTAGAGTCCAGTCGGGCACGTCCCTCTACAGGGAGAAGGCTCCAGAATATTCAGAAAACAGTCTGGGGACGTGTTTTTTGTTGACTCATTGTGTTGATGTTCGAGCTTGTTTGGGCTACCTCTTGTGTTTTTGACTCTTTGTGTTCATGTCCGAGCATGTTCGAGCATGTTTGAGTATGTATGTTCATTTCCTCCCAAATCCGGCCTGCAGGAGGACGTGCCCGACCTGATTCTAGAGGACAAGGGGTCCTGGGCGTGTCTCGCCGCTTGCCCCTGCACGGGGAATCAAAAAATCACGGATTCTGCAAGGACTTGAGCGCACAACAGCTGAGGCAGCGCCCGATTTGGTAGATTTCGCGGTGCCTGGCGCAATCATTGAAGATCAGTGGCAACCATAGGGGGGGATGGGCATAGGGGGGGATGCATCGACCCCCAATCGCCCATTGATCACGGATATGGGCCCGATAGCCCCAATTGGCCCAGCAAGGTGCAGATTCATTATCGGGGGCCCATCGCCGATCTATCGGCGATGTATCGTCCATTCGAGGTCGATGTTCCCCCCCCTATGCCAGTCCCCCCCTTATCATTATCCCTCAAAAGCACGGGTTCTGCAAGGACCGAGCGCACAACCGTTGAGGCAGCGCCCGATTTGGTAGATTTCGTGGCGCTTGGCGCAATCACTGAAGCAAGTGGAAGTAATCTCGGCCACGCGCAGAGATGGTTAGGGGCAGGGGGGAAGGCCTCTTAGAAGCACCCCTGCTTCTCAGAAGGCCCGGGCCTTCTCCATAGATGGAAGGCCCGCGCCTTCTAAGAGGTACTCCTGCTTCTAAGGAGCCCTCACCCCTCCCCCTACCCCCCTTGTGCGCGCCGCCAACAATCACTGAAGCAAGTGGAAGGTTCAGTCGATTGCGGGTTACCTGGCGCAACTTACGGTGCATGTGTTGAGGCAGCGGGCGATTTGGTGAATTGCGGGGGTGTTTGCGCAACTCATGGCGTAATATGTTGCGCGGCATATGGCGCAAGGGTGCCCCCATTGACGCAACGATTGCGTCGGTCGATTGCGGTGTGTGTGTGTGTGTGTGTGTTGGTGGTTGTGGTTGTGTTTGTGTGTGGTTGTGTTGTGTTGTGTTGTGTGTTGTGCTGTGATGTGTTGTGCTGTGCTGTGTTGTGTGCTGTGTGTTGTGTGTGGTGTGTGGTGCGTGTATGTATGTGTGTGTGTTTGGTGTGTGTGTGTGGTGTGTGTGTGGTGTGGTGTGTGTTGTGCGTGTTGTGTGTTGTGTGTGTGTCGTGCGTATATGTTGTGTGTGGTGTGTGTTCTATGTGTGTTGTGTTGTGTGTTGTGTTGTGTGTATGTGTTGTGTTGTGTGTACTGTGTATGTTGTGCCTGTGTTGTGTTTTTTTGTGTGTTGTGTGTATTGTGTGTTGTGTGTTGTTTGTGTTGTGTGTGTGTTTGTGTGGTGTGTGTTGTGTGTGTGGTTCGTGTTGTGTGTGTTGTGTGTATGTGTGTTTGTGTGCGGCGCAATCCTTTGGCGCATTCTCAGCTGAACCTCTGGCGCAGTGGTGTACCCACTGAGGCAACGGACAGTGTGCGAAATTATGGAATGCTCGGTGCAACTTGTGGCGCGCACAACGTTTGGAGCACTACTACGCCAACTGAGATAGCGGACGATTTGGTAGATTGCGGGGTACTTGGCGTAATGTGTGCAAAGCCTTTTGCGCAGAGGAAGATGTGGTTGATCGTAGCGTGCTTGACCAAACTCATAGCACAACCCATAGCACACAGCTGCGCCCACTGAGGAAACCCAAGATTTGATATATTGTGGGGTGTCTGGCTGAGGCAACCGACGATTCGATTGACTGCGGAGTGCCAGGCGCAACCGATTGCGCAATTCTGGCGCAACGGTAGCCCCTCTCAGACAACGGACGATTTGGTCGATGGCGACTTGTCGAGTTCAACCCATGGTGCAGTGGTACACCCATTGTGACAAGGGAAAGTTTAAGGGTACAGCCAATGCGGCAGCGGACGAGTTGGTGGATTGCAGGGTGATTGTCGCAGGCCTAGAGGTTGACACCAACACCAATATCGGCGGTGTGCCTCCACCGAGGGAAGAAGATCCCGACCTCGGCCATGGTGGTAATATTCTGGCTGCCGAGGCGACCGAAATATTGCCACCAGCACCGAAATCTAGGATCATCTTCCCCCTGTTGAGGCAACCCCTTGTGTTGGTGATGGTGTTCATTTCCAGGCCTCCAAGATTGGTGCAATCTCCAGCGTAGCACACGGCGCAGCTCGTGGCAAGTGCCGTGTAGGATCGCTCGGCGCGATGACGTTCGGGCTCGCTGGGCCCTGGGACCGGCGCGACTGGCCCAGGATTCAGTCGGGCTTGTCCCTCTACAGGAGGAATATCATTTGGGGACGATGTTTTGAGTATTTGTTGCGCATTTTTGAGTATAGTTGAAGACTATGTTTTCACATATTTTCTTTTTTCGTCCAAAATCCTGGTGGGCATGCCCGACCTAAAATCAGGACGAAAAGCTGTGTTGAGGAAGGCCTCAGGGTCCAGGGCCTGCTTCCAGAAGGACCCCTCCCCAGACCCCCGACGTCATGCATGATTATCTTCGTGACGTCGACCCCCAGAGGTCTCGACCCATTCCCCGGGACCGGATTTTTGTCCCGAGTCGTTTGTTGACGGCCCCGATGCCCGGCAAGGGCACCCAGAGGCCGAAAATCGTGAAAAACCCAGGGATCAGGTGCCGTGATTTCTTCAAAACGGGGTCCCCGGAAGTCTCGACCCATTCCCCAGGACCGGCTTTTCATCCTGAGTCGTTTTTTGACGCTCCCGAGGACCGGCGAGGGCCCCTGGGGGCCGAAATTTGAAAAAATCCCCCGTGTTGGATCTCTGGGAACCTCCCGTCCTGATTTTCCACGGCCCGAGGGATCTGGGTCACCCTCGCTCCCAGGTGCTGCATGCTCGCCTTCGACATCCACGTCTTCCGGCGAGACCTCCGGGAGGTGCAGCGGGAGAGGAAGCTGGGCGTCACGCTGGACCTTGTGCACCTGGGCCCAGAGGCTGCCTCCGGACTCGCCGCGATGGTCGCCGCGTTCGTGCGCGGGTCTGGCAGCGACGGTCGCCTGATGGCGCTGGCAAGGTAGGGCCTCTCTCGGCCCCCCGCCCCCCCCCTCCCCCATCCACAGACACCCTGGCGTCGCGGAAAAACACCGAGACGGAGGTTTTTCAGAGTTTTCGGCCTCTGGGGGCCCCGCACGGGCCCCGGGACCGTCGAAGATCGGGACGAGAAACCAGTCCCGGGAAAGCGATCGAGAGGTTCGGGCGGGTGGTGATGGAGTGTGACCCAAAGGGGGGGTGAAGAAATGAGCCCGAAAGGGGCACTTTGGATCCCCTTTTGGGCCCCTGCGGGGAGTGAAGAACAGGGCCCGCAAGGGGCACTCTCGGGTCCCTCTTGGGCCCCTGCTGGCTCCCGCGAAGAGGCCCCAGAGTGCCCCTTTTGGAGCCCTTGTCTTTGCCCCCCCTTGGGGTCACCCCCCATCACCACCCGCCCGACCGTGACTCGAACAAATCGAGGCGCCGCATGTCGGGGTCGGGCAATCCCCCCCCAAGACATGCGACGTCCTGATTTTTTCAGGACGGCGTCCCTGGAAGTCCCGATCCTTTCCCCGGGACCGGTTCTTCGTCCTGGGTCGGTTTTGGCCGGTCCCGAGGTCCGGCGAGGGCCCCCGAGGCCAAAAATGGCCAAACGCCCGTCCAGATTTGTTTTCCCGACGCGACCATGTCTGGCCCAGCAGAGATCCGATGTCGTGATTTTTTCCGCACGGGGTCCCCAGAAGTCTCGACCCATTCCCCAGGACCGGTTTTTCATCCTGAGCCGTTTTCTGACGCTCCAGGGGCCCGGCGAGGGCTCACCGAGGCTGAAAAATATGAAAAACCTCCGTCTTGATTTTTTCAATGCGTTGGATACGGTCCCGGGGCCCGGCGAGGGCCCCTCGAGGCCGAAAAATATGAAAACCGCCTTCTAGATATTTGTCCATGCGTTGGATATTGTCCCGGGGCCCGGCGAGGGCCCTTCGAGGCCGAAAAATATGAAAGACCGCCTTCTTGATGTTTGTCCATGCGCTGGATACGGTCCTGGGGGCCCGGCGAGGGCCCCTCGAGGCCGAGAACTACGAAAGACCGCCTTCTTGATTTTTGCCCATGCCTTGGATCGCTGGGGGGCCCGCCTCCACGACCTCTCCCTGGCGCTCGCCTCGGCGCCCCTCAGGGCCTCGCCTGCCCTAGGGCCTCGCGCCCCTCCCGCTCCCGCGCTTCGCAGCGCGTGCGCGCCCGGCCGCGGCCGCCGTCTTCCTGCGCCCTGGCAGCGACCCCCCCTCCTCCCAGACAGCTGGCGTCCCCAGAGATCCAACGCATTGAAAGGAGAATGAGGAGAAGGAGCAGGAGGAGGAGGAGGAGGAGGAGGAGGAGGAGGAGGAGGAGGAGGAGGAGGAGGAGGGGGAGGAGGAGGAGGAGCAGGGCGGAGGAGTCTCGCACATTTCGGCCCCCAGGGTCCCTCACCGGGCCTCGGGAGGAAGAGCCGGTCCTGGGGAATGGGTCGAGACTTCCGGGGACCCCGCATCGAAGAAAACACGACATTGGATCTCTGGGTCCAGAAAAAGAAAAAGCGCCATTCATCTAAACTTTCGGCGCTCCGCGCGCATTTCTTGGATCCGCGCTGGGCCCCCCTCCCTTCGCGAGGAGAGCGCCAGGGGCGGCGAAAGCACGGCGCTGCCGGGGGGCCCAGCGCGGATCCAAGAAATCCGCGCGGAGCGCAACATGTTTATGTTTGTGGCGTTTTTCCTTCCTCAATTCTTCCTCCCTCCCCCCTCCTCCTTGAGACCCCTGAGATCCTGGCGTTGCAATGTTTTGCAACGGGCGTTTTCGCTCTATTTCGGGCCCCTGGACCCTCGACCCTCGCAGTTCGATCTGGCTCGAAATATGACGCACAGAGATGGGGTTTGGGGCTCTGATCGTGATTTTTTGCGATGCTGCATTTTTTTACAATCTCGGATCTCAAGGACGAAGCCAGGACGAGGATATAACCGGGCGAGCATAAATCGAGAATCTCTGAGATCTGGCGGCTCTGGAGGATGTCGCGGGCGCCGCGGCCTTCTGAGAGCGTTCCGGAACGCTCTGAACGCTCTGAAAGCGTCTAGCTCCGTCCGACTCCTACGTCCGCTGCTGCCCGCCTTCCTCCAAGACCAGGCCAATGGCGATGTTGCTTAACGGTGATGTTGGGAACAACGTGCAGAAAATCACGGGCCACACTTCCCCACATCTCCTATCTGCGAACGGATCGAGCGATCACGACACAGCGAATTGTAGGGAAGCGCAAACCGCACGTTCCCACCCCAGACATGCGGCCGCTTCCCCCTCGGCGGCGAGCGAGGGGGGAAGAAAGAAGGAGAAGGCCTTCTCTGAATCTAGGCCTCCTCCTCCTCATCCTCCTCCTCCTTATCCTCCTCCTCTTCCTCCACCTCCTCCTCTTCCTCCTATGCAGGCCCCGACCCAGAGATCAAGCGTATCTTTAGGCCTGCTAGATGGGGTCGGAGTAGATGGGGCTGAAGGATCGCGCCGCATCGCCGATGCATCGGCGATGCATCGCCAATGCATCGGCGACGCATCGGCGACGCATCGGCGATTCGGCTCGATGTGGGGCACAATTTTCTGCACGCCGACGTCGCCGATGCATCGCCGACGCCGCCAGCGCATCGCCGATGCATCGCCGATGCATCGGCGATGCATCGCCGATGTGTCGGCTATGCGGCGAGATCCTCCGACAGCATCTGCGCAGACCCCATCCAGGAGGCCTCCACTGAAGGCGGCTGGACTTCTCGGAAGCCCTCGCGGCTTCTGAGAGGTCTTCCTGCGTCGTCGGGGGCAAGGCTTGGGAGACTTCTCAGAAGGCCGCGGGACTTCCGAGCCTTCCGACCCAGACGTGCGACGTCCTGAATTCTTCAGGACGGCGTCCCTGGAAGTCCCGATTCTTTCCCCGGGAAGGTTTTTTCGTCCTGAGTCGTTTTTTGACGGTCCCGGGCCAAAAATAGCCAAAAATTGTCCGTCCTGATTTGTTTGGTTCGACGCGATCATGTCTGGGGAGAATGCCCGCCCGTTCTCTGCTCGTTTCCTCCCCCCGGGCGCGCCGCCGACTGCTCGCACTCGCGGGCGCTTTCTGGCCACACCGCTCGGGAAACAATATACTACAAGATGGGTATACCATATGTTCGGGTCGGACGCGCGTCTCCAGGGATGACATCTAGTCGGAGGTGAGGGGGTGAGATCGAAGTGGAACGGAGAGCCCCCGTACCGGGAAATCGGTTTCGGTTTCGTGTTCGTGCGTGCCGTGCGTGCGGGCGAGGCGAAGCTGCGTGGGCGGGCGAGAAATGTCCCGCCTCTGGCTGAGGCGCGGCCAGACCAAAAGTCTCCCTTCCTGCAACCGGTGCCGCGCGGTGTCCCGCCGGTATCCAGTTGGTGTCCCGATGATGATGATGATGATGATGATGATGATGATGATGATGATGATGATGATGATGATGATGATGACGATGTCTGTGATGATGATGATGATGATGATGATGGCCAGGGTAGTGATGATGATTGTGTCCCGATCATGCTGATGATGTTGATGCTGATGCCGCTGATGATGATGATGGTGTCCCGATGATGATGATGACGATGATGTTGATGATCATGATGATGATGGTATGATGATGGAATGATGATGAAGATGATGATGATGATGGTGTCCCGATGATGATGATGATGATGATGATGATGATGGGGTTGATGATGATGCTGCTGATGATGATGTTGATGATGATAGTGTCCCGATGATGATGATGAAGATGTTGATGATGATGGCGATGTTGGTGCCCCGATGATGATGGTGATGATGAGGATGATGATGATGAGGTGATGACGATGATGATGATGGTGGTGGCCCGATGATGATGATGTTGATGATGATGGTGTCCCGATGATGATGATGATGATGATGATGATGATGATGGCGATGATGATGACGGTGACCATGGATGATGGTTTCCCGATGACGTTTATGATGATGACGATGATGATGATGGTGTCCCGAAAATGATGATGATGATGCTGTTGATGATGTTGTTCATGATGATGATGGTGGGATGATGATGATGATGATGATGGTGGTGTTCCGATGATGGTGATGATGATGGGGTGTCCCGTTGATGATGATGCCGATGATGGTGATAATGATGCTGATGATAATGGCCATGCTGCTGATGATGATGGTGTCCCGATGATGTTGATGATGCTGATGTTGGCGATGGTAATGATGGTGTCCGGGTGATATGGTGATGTTGATGATCCTGATTTTGATAATGAGAGGAGACGAGGAGATCATGATGATGATGATGATGATGGTGTCCCGGTGATGATGATGAGGTGGGTGGTGATGCTGATGATGATGTTGGTGATGATGATGATAGTGTCCCGGTGATGATGCTGTTGATGATGATGTCGATGACGATGATGGTGTTAGATGGTGATGATGATGTTGGTGCTGTGGATGATGATGATGATGATGTGATTGTGAGTTTGATGATGGTGGCCCGATGATGATGATGATGCTGATGTAGATGATGCTGATGATGGTGTCTCGATGATGATGATGTTGTTGATGATGATGATGATGTTGTGGATGATGCTGATGGTGCCCCAATGATGATGATGATTATGTTGACGATGTTGTTCGTGATGATGATGGTGAGATGATGATGATGGTGGTGGTGTTCCGATGATGATGGTGGTGTCGCGATGATGATGATGCTGATGATGCTGGTGGTGACGATGATGGTGTCCCGATGACGATGATAATGGTGATGCTGATGTTGATGATGATGGTGATGAGGTGATGATGATGGTGGTGTCCCGATGATGCTGTTGATGACGTTGATGACGGTGATGTCGATGATGATGATGACGTTGATTGTGATATCGATTGTGATATCGATTGTGGTATCGATTCTGAGACCGAATATGAGATCGCTAGTGAGATCGATTTTCAGATTGATATTGATATCAACTGTGAGGTCGATCGAATGAAATAGATCGAGAGATATCGACTGTTAGATCGATCGGGTGAGATCGATCGAGCGAGACCGATAGT